CCCGCAAGCGGGGTTCTGGTCTCCCCCTGCCGAGAGGCTCGGCGTTGCCAAAATACCTCTTTTGCCTTGCCGGGCGGCCACGGGGAGGTCACGCTCCTCCCCGGACAGGGGAGGCAGGGAGGGATGCCTCCATCCCAGGAGGAGAAGCAACACGGGGCCGGGGGGGAGACAGCAGACATGCTGGAGGAGGGTGAGGAAGACAGCAAGGTCATCCAGGCACCTGATCAGTTCCCATCCCCTTCGACACTCCCCTGAATTGAACGTCTAGGTTTTTTCTGCAATACTTCCGTAACGCAATGCTTCTGCTATAACTCTGCAACGTTAACATCCAAGACAGGCCCTTGTTTTTAATTACCGTCTCCACAGAAAACTCTTTTCTTTTTTTTTTTTAAATGTGTTCTTAAAGCCAGCCCACTGCTGAAAGCTTCAAGTAAGTTATTTAAGGGTTGCCCATACCCAAAAAAAAAAGGCAAAGAGCTGGGTAACAGCCCCGACCAACCCTGGCTGGAAGGAGCAGAGGTTTCGTGCAAGGAGGGGAAGCTGCTGTTGGACATCGAGCGGCTCAAAGACCTCGCTGCGTCCAAGGGTTTTACACCCGCGCAGCTCCCCGTTAAGCGTCCGCACAACTGCGCTTCGCTCCCTATTTCTCCCATCCCTTCAAGCACAAGCGAGCACCCCTGGCAGAGGCAGCGCAGGAAACACACCCTGTGCTTCACTATAAATTTCAATAATTTGAATTTTTTAAAGTTGTTCCTTTTACAAAGCCATCAGGATTTCAATATTTAAATGATTTTGTTTGCCTCCTGCTTCACCTGGAGGTTTTGACGCTTTGGGGGCTTTTTCCTCTTTTCCTAACATGACCAAAATAAATAACTGATATTACTATTTGGAGAACTCGGGACTGGCTCAGGCTCTCAGTCTCTGCACACACACCATCACACATCGCGGCGCTCTGGATTCCTCCCTACTTTCCCAAAAGCCTCCAGCTTTCTCCCCTTGAAGCACTAAAAGTTAATCCAAGTGACAGTGGATGCCCCAGCACGGGCTGAGCTATGTTGGGCCGTGCTTTGGCTTACAAAAAATAACACCCAAATACCCCGCTCCCGACCTCTTTCCTTCTGCAAAAAAGGATGGATGGAAAAACCCACCCTGAACCAGTTGTCGGGAGAGTCGGAGATGAAAAATTATGAGTTTAAAGTGAGAAGCGTTAAAAAAACCTGCATTTCCCAAAAGTTGGTGGGATTTTTTCCCTTCTCTCACCCTCATTTCATTTCAACTGAGTGTTTCCTACCAGCCCTCGCCCAGTTCCAGGCCACCCCCTCCACACCTCACGTCTGCAAACACCCCACAAACGCCAAGCCGCTGTTTCAGCGGCGGGGAGGACGACCGTTAACAGGACCCAA